TACCTACAATTTGGTAAGTTGATATATTCCTCAAATCCCGTCTCCTGAGCATATTGTTCGCAGGAAAAATCATTTGATTAACTTATATACTAATAATTTATGTGTTTTATTATTCCATTGCATTTTTTTCTTAACTTGTTATTATTAATTAACATGTGCCTCTGTGTAACGATTACACTGTGGATAATGGATATATATGTTTTTATTTATGTATTTTAGTTCTTAGATATTAGTATTATTGTAAATGATCTTAAGTTATAATGCTAGTAAAAACATTGAAAATGAAGGGTCACTCGTTTTGATGAAAAGTAAAAAAAATGGCAGGGTAAAAAACATTTTAGTAAAATTTATTTATTATAATATATCTCTATCTACAAGGCTATAAAATAGGTAATTTCGTCCAAGTTTGAATTTTAAATGCATGAAAAAAATGTGTAGGTAAGTATCTCAAATGTTTTTTAAACAGCGATTAAAACGACGTATCCGAACCTTGTATTCAACTTTCAAGCTTTTATTAACTCATCAAAACATTATTATGAACATTTATAGAAAAAAACAAAAAAATATGAATGTCTTAATATAGCTTAAAAAGAGACAAAATATTTTAAATATCCAATGTCGAAAACACTTTAAAAAACAATTTAATTTGACGTACCCGGTAAACATTTTTTTTTTTATAAAGCCATCGGTGCCGGGCCGTCGGGTATTTATTAAGGAGCAAATTATTGGCAATCTAATTCACATATTATTTCGGCGTCGCACGATCTTGTGAATATGGGTTGTGTACTTGTGTAAATTGTTGATAGTGTGAAAGAATCTATCCGTGAGCGGATATGAACGCGGCGCACGCACTCGCAGGAAGTTGTCATTAAACTAAAAAATAACGAAAAATGTTATTGTCCGTTTAGAGGACAAAAATGAATTCTCGGGAATATGGATAACTCATTGACAACGAAATATTTTTGGATAATTTATTTTTTTAATTTATAAACAAATACATTTTACAGCCCGCATTGAACTCAGATTGTTTATTTGATTTTAAAAAATTTGTAATGCTAAAAAATGTGCTAAAAAATGTTATTTTTTTTAAAGACTTATTATTAAGTTTGAGATTAAAATATAAAAAGCGAAGTTTGATATGGGCTAAAAAAATTTCCTTTTTTAACTAAAAAAAATAATAAATTATGGGTAATTTTATGGGGTGCCTTAAGGCAGAAAAACATTTTATGAATTTTATTAATTTCGAACTGAAAAATAAATGGAAAATATTCGAAATTATGATGAATTTTGTCAAAATTTCAATTTCAGACAAATTATTGGAGATTTATGATATAACTTATGAGAAGCCTTGCATTATATTATTTTTCATGTTAATTGATCGAGTAAAAAATAATTCATAAACAATAGCTGAAAACATACTCGAAAACGTTCAAAATATTTTTAAAAATGTTATCATGTACTTGTAGAAAATGTATAAGCACTTGGTGAAGATTTTAAAATGTTAGTGTGTTTCCCCTACAATTTCACTACAGTTATTCGTTTTTAAATTACAATAAAATACGAAAAACTTTTGATGACAAATTATTAATTTACGAGGGAAAAATTCAAACATTAATCAAACGGTTTTATTTTTTTTTAATACACCAAAACTATAAAATCTATTTTGTAAAAAACTTGTTTTGAGTAAGCACCTGAGTATTTAAAAAATCCTATTTTTCCTAAAGCTTCGAAAACTACTGGAGATTTTCCATTTTTACCTCTTAGAAGTACCAACTAGAAATTGAAAATCGAAGAAATATTTTGACCATACTTACCAGCAGGGCCGCAGGGGCGAGCCGTCAGGTTAGGACTTTGAGACTGTGTCTCCACTGAAAAAAAAACAGTTACTTGTAACTAATAATGTATAGAATCATTTTTATTTTGTTATTACAAATTGAAGGTTATCGTCATTTTTTAGCACATTTTGTCAAAATGCTAGATGCCAGATGGGTTGGCATTTTTACCATTAAATAACGTACCAAGAAGGTTAATTTATTCAAAATAAATTATACCACAATAAGCTAATAAGTTAATAGAGTATTTTGATTCAACTTACATAGGGGGGATAATTATAAATAAAAATACTAGAAGTAACATTATTAGAAGAGACGAGGTTCTTCTTGTGGTATAATTGATTTTAAATAAATTAGGTAACCTTCTTGGTACGTTATTTATTGGTAAAAATGCTAACACATCTAGAATTTGACAAAATATACTAAAAAATTGGTTTTCTCAAGACCTAATGATTGGATCACAAATAAGGTAGGTATAAATATTTACAGGTATTCACACACATAGTAGAAAATGTACAGGGTTTTTTTTGACATGGATAACTAATGTGTTGCAGGGCGTTCCCATTTTATTATATTATGATCATTCAATTTTTTGATTTTGGAATATTTTACCATGGAAATTCCTGGTACATTTTTGTATAATACCCTATTCGTTGGACCCATATGTACCTTGATGTTCTGTGAAGTTATGATTAGCATTACTACATAGTACATATTGTACAACCTCATTTTTATTTTTTTTAAATAGCCATTAATACTCCTCTGTGAAATATGCCAACAATATGGTGGTTCTGGAGTTAATTATAATTCTTCATCAGTTTCAAAGATTTTTACACTAACTTCCTCCTTCATAAAATAAATTTGATAAAAAGTAATTATTATTTATTAAACAAGGTTATCTAAAATATTATACAAATGTAGCACAATAATAAAAACTAACGAGTATGTGTCTGGTGTAATATATTTCCTAGTATAGTACTTTCATTTTATTAAATTAATAGTATCTACTACTTATTATTAATTTGAATTGGGAAAAGTGGACATTTTTTTGTAGGTACGCTACAAATTTAAAATAGTTAATTAAATTGTATGTAATTTGTTTTTATTACTAATAGTGCACTTTACTAATCATGCATTATTCAGTCATACATTTATACATAAATACTAAATAGGTATTATAAGGACCAACAGGTAACTCAACCAAAATCCTTAATCGTAACTTAAGACTTTAAAATTACTGCTTATTATGTATTTATATTTTATAATATAAATTAAAAGCAAATATAATTGAAGCATTTAGTATTTAAGTTATCTTTAATAAATTAATTGATAACTAGTTAAGACTACCTATGCCCATTAAATTTCTAAAATAAAATAACAGTTCTCAAATGTTGTACTTATTTTTAATATTAGTTATTATTATTGTTATTATTGATGAATTATTCTTACTTGTAGTTGAAGACTACAGATAAGCAGAAATGCAATTATTATAAGCCTTACAAGACAATGTGTTTAGGTTCTATAATTCATAATAAAAAAAAACTATAACAAACAAAATTTTATTTAAAAAAAAAGGATAATTGGTACAATAAAACTTACATTTTGAACTGTTTTGGTTCAGGATTATCAAATAATTGTTTTTCTGTAGAATACTACAATACACAATGAGAATTTATAAGTAAAGTTTCATCTTTGTTTTTAAACGTGTTTATATGTATTGAATTAATCAAATATCTACTGACTTTGATTCACTTTGTTTCTCTTTGAGAAATATGAAAGTAAAGTAGAAGCACTGGGTTTATTTTCACTCATTATCTTATATTATGTATTTATTGATTATAAATACAAAGTATAATAATAGTATAGTATTCATAATCAATAGTCATATAAAATGAATTTATAACTTTGTCTACAGAATACATGAAAGAAAAAAATCACAAATATCCAGACCCTAATTATCATTTTATTATATCATGTTGTACTAACATTTAATTATTATATGCACCTATATGTTTATACCAGGTGTCCGCGGAAACAGGGAACAATGTATCACTCCTGTAGTCCTATATCATAATCTGATGATTTTCATAGATGTGAAATTGACTTATCTCTACCCACCCATTGAAAACCACCATTGCATCAACGGACTCAGGGAACCAACTACATAGTATTTTCTACAATCTGACCTATATGAATACCGGACAAAATAACTGTAGGCTTTAAATTACAAAAGACAGTAGACCCTACCTATAATACAAAACCTAAAGAATAAAAATATAATAATAGGTTTTAAAAATATAAAAATAAAACACTTCAAATATGAAATTCTTGGGCAAAAAATAATTGTAAAATATTTCCTTATTTTTACAATAATTGACAATTTTTTTACATCTATATAATATTTTAAAATCTACAAAATATTTGTATACTGTGTGGATATACCGATGGATAGTCATGGCACAAAAGTAAACAATGTTAAAATTTAACTTATGAGATTTAATTAATTTACAAATCTATACATCTATAAATTTAGAAGTTCATAAATTATTAGTATTCAACAGCAAAAAAAAAAAACAAGTATTATTAAATGTTACAGTTCAGTACCCAATCTTATAGAAGATAACAATTTGGAAAAATTATTATTTTCTTATTAAATGTAATTTTAAATAAAGATTTAACATTTATTGTCAGTATAATAATGATGTGATTCAACAAAAGTTTTTAGTATTGTCAAAATGTACAACTAAAAATAAAATATATTACAATAGGCTAATTAAACACATTTAATAAATTTGTATTTAACTGTGAAATGAAAATGTTTTGGTACATTTGTATGAAAATTACATCAGTCATTAATTTACTGTAAGCATGGCACACCAAAAAAATAAAATAAATCTTAATAACTAATAATACTTTTAAATAAATACAATTTACTCTTGCTTAAAAAATAATAGTACACGAGTTTCTACTCATAAATAAATAATAATTTAAATGAACACCCAGTTTTCTTTGTTGTACCATTAATAATAATTCATAAAAGATGGATAGTTAACAAATAATTAACATTATTTAAGTCTAATTATGACGATTCATAAAATAAATACAAACAAATGAATTAATAAGTAGAAAATATATGTTCAATTTAGAAATAAACAAAAAAAAATTAAATTAATAATACTGTGGAAAATAAATTTGTTTGATGAAATCAGATAATTATTATTTCATATTTTTGGTTCATTGCCCTCTGTTTTTAATGTTTTAGCTGTTTAATCTTCTGAAAATAGTTGCTTATAAAGTTTGTCAATAATCATTTCATGTGTATCTTTTATCTCAGTAGCACGTTCATCTTCATGATTGCCCAAGTTACATTGCTCGCCACCGTTAATGCATTTAACTTCATCAGACACATCTTCATTTTGAATTTCAAGATTATTTTGTTCATTGTTATTGCAAACTTCAGCAACCTTATTTTTTTCTTCTTCATTCTGGTTATTCTCTTCATCATCGAATTCTAAGTCCACAACATCTGGACTCTCACCCTCTATGCTGCTTAACATATGTCGAACAGACTCATATCCACCCGCCATAGCCTGTTGTGCTAATTGCCCAGTTGGAGCCATTCCTTTTCTGCGTCTGCAAATGCTACAGTTACAATATCCACGACAAGGTGGACAGGCCCATTTCTTAAAAAAAAGTACAAAATATGAATGAGTATTTTAAAATTAATTAGATTACTTATAATTTACCGGGTTAACTAAAACGTTTGCAACATTCTCTCCATATCTTCTGCCTAAACAAAATCCACAAAAATTTCCTCTCATGCCACTACATCCTTTGTACCGACAATACGATTTTTGATCAGCAGTTTTTTGTCTAACACAAAATAATATTTTATTTTATTTCAAACTATAAATTAAAAATTGAGATTTAAATTAGAAAGGTTTACATATATTTCAATTTGCATATTCTGAATAACCTCTAAATTTCAATATTATAGTAACAATAGTAATTGAAATAATCAATAATATTTAAGACTATAGTATTTTTAAGATTAATAATAATTAATAGATAATTACATTTGAATTTCAAAAACCATTCCCTATAGTCTATACAATAATTAAATTGTATTTGGATAAATATTATATTTTAGGTATAATTTGTTATTAATTAGAAAATATTTTTTTAACAGAACAAGATGAAACTAGTAAATTATAGAAATTTATAATAAATATTGTCCTTAAAAAAGCCGATTTTTAGCTCAAACATTTTAAATAATAGAAATAATTTGTTAGTAAATAAATTCGAAACTGTTTCAAATGTGACTGAATTTAAATTGTTTACCAAAAAAGTAGGTAATTGCAATAATTTTTTTCAAATTTAAGCATATTTTTATTAAATGTTTCTTATTGTAACAAGTGAATAGATTTTTAAGTCTTTAGTAAATAAAAAAGCATATTTTACCAGTTTAAGAATTAAAAGAGAATTTTAAAGCTTTTTCTAAGAGAATATATAAATCATATGTCAAACTTTTCAGAACCATAAAATCTATTATTCAAAAAAATTAAAAACTTAAAAAAATGTCAAGAATAAAAAAATTGTTTTTTTTTTAAAGACTAGAAACCATAAAAATTTAGTTTTTCAAAAACATTTATACTATTTAAAATAATTTGTGTTCAATGACTAAATAATCACTCGGTATACGTCAAATTCTAAAACTTGCTTTAATTGATTTACCTGCATTGGTGACAAGTTGTACCAGATTGACTATATAGTTTTCCAGATGAAGAATATGAAATATTTTCTATCATTTCTTGTGTTACTTGAGAAACAGCCAAACGAGGTGTATATGTTTTACGCTTTCTTTTAGATCCAGGCTTTTTTATATAATGTGGTTCAATATAAGTTAAATACAAACAGTTAATATTTTATTTAATAATTGATATTTAATACATACTGCAGATGACTCATAGTCAGATTCATATTCTTCATCGCCATCATGAATAAAATCACTATCAACAAGTGAGCTATAGTACAATTCGTCTGATTTTTGATATTCGCTTGATTTAAACCAACGAAATTTGATTTTTAATGATCCGTGTTTGAGTTTTTTTCCGTCACTCTTGTCATTTTCATCATCACTTTGTTCGTTATAATTTGTTGATTGTCTATATATAATATACACACAAATACATCTATATTATTATAGGCATATCAAGTAACAAAAAATGAATATAATATATTGTTAACTAAGGTTAATATTAATGATCATTAAGTATGAACAATTTAAGTACTAGCACAACTCGTATTCTTTTATTTATATATCAGATTAAGTAAATGTAGTTAAACTGACAAAAATTACATAAATACCTAAACAAATCTGGCATTATATAATAAGCTGTAGATTATAATACTAATAAGAAATACAACTACACTATACTGCTGTTGTAAGCAAAAATTCATTAATTCTCAAAAAAAAATTAAAAAATAATTGTAGAATTCAGCCTGTGTAGGTAAATATGCTATAGTTCTGAAACATTACTTAAAAAATAAAATATAAGCAATAATCAAATAACTAAAACACAAATTTGTGGCTAGCAGGTAATAATGCTGTAAAATAACTTTAGACTACATCAGGTGGTACTATTTATATTGTACATTAAAAGAAATAACAATGAAGAATACCCAGAATTAGACTTTTTAAGAAAAAATGTTATAAAAATCAATGGAATGCTGCATCCAATTTCATCATGAGAGATTCTATAAGATAACGTTTTAGTATTCTACAAAATCTATCTCAAGTTCTCCCAGCCAACAAAAAAATGTTTGGGAAAATATTCCAACATTATAATTATAAAATTGATGTATTAAGTGTTTTTTTTTTAAATAAATAAATTGACTTGAAAAAAAATATTTTTGTTTTGTGAATTCTTTAAAAATAATTATACTCATACATAATTAAAATGTATAAATAATTTTGTCATATCAGAAATTATTTCGGCATTCTTGCTTATGAACAAGGCATAAAAGTTTATACCAATACTAAGGTGCATCATGAAAAGTAAAATATCTTGTTCAAAATTAATTTAATCATTTTTATTATTATTTTATTGCATTCACAGGGTAAATAGGAAAACTTATATTATATTTAAACTATTATAATATACAAGGTGTTATGATTTTAAGGAAATTGTGTTTTTCATTTATCATTCTCTGGTGATTTAAGGCTTGTTTTTGCTTACGACGGCTGTATAACTGTCTGTACATAAACAACACAACTAAACTTTTATATTCTATAATGCATTAGGTAATTACATTTAGTACTCTATAATTATTGTTTGTATAATGTGTTACAGTTTACAATTTTAGATTAACACTACACTACAAGAATTTACTAGAAATAAATGTTTTTTTCATTTAAAAATTAAAATATAAAGTATATTTTTTTAACTTGTGGCTCCTGAGCCAATAAGAAAAGCAATAAGATAAATATATGATTGAGATCAAATAATTGTTCATAGGTTCTATGCACAGTAGCCATTAAGTATAAATTAAGCAAACATATTACTATACAATTATGTTCTATATATTATATTGTTTATGTTTTATTAGTATTCTATTATGAGTATTATTAGGAAGTTTCAGGAATTCTATAATTTTTAAATCAAACCGCAATCATTTTATTTTAATACTTATAGAAACTTACTCATATAATTATTTAATTAAGTTTGTTACATTTATTGAAATTAATAAATGTAAGAGAGATGCAAGTCGCAATCTTTAGAAGTAATTAATTATGATACTATTTATTAGTTGTTTTGATTTTAAATTTATATTTTTCTGCAGTTACTTATTAGTTTAAGTTAAAAATAAACTATATATTAAATGACCAATTTATTTGCATTTAAGTGAAGTAATACAAACACCTAGAACTAGTAAAAAGTAGGTAAAAATTTGGATAAATTGTGTTTGAAATGAGAAAATCTAGAGAATTTAGATGTAAGTAGGGTATACCAAAGAAGTTTTTAACTTCCTACAAAACTTTCGTTGAAACTATTAGTTAACTACTAATACCACAAATATATTTTAGACTGATAGCAAAAAAAAAAAACAAATTAATCAATGTTTACAATTAAGCTATCAAGCCACACACAATTCTAGATAATACAATAGTATAGTTGTATAGTTCAAAACTGTTAAAAGGTTAAAACAATTACACATTTATTGGCAAGACAGATTAACACCGAAAGCGCTGTAGACGCCTGTCGTACTGATGGATAGGTGGGTTCTCCCCTACGCGAAGTCAGGATACTATTATCAGATTGTATGTATACTTCAGACATTTCATAAAAGTTTTGCTTTATTATACATATGGCATATAGGTACTATAAACAATTCAAAATAACTTCATACCTTTTTTCTTGAATAATACGCGATGAACGTCTCACAAATTTGACACGATTTGATGTTTCACCTGTTTCGCCTGTTTCAGAATTGAGTTTGCTCTTTTTGGCTTTAGCTCGTCGTTTGGCAGTTATGTTAGAAGATTTTAACTCATTAGCTGACTGCTGTATGATGTCTAATGGATCGGCTAACTGTAGGGAAAAAACCGATTAACTCGAACAGTGGGTAAATAGTTAACTAAAATGTATTAGACGAATGGTTCTGATAAACACACCTGAAGTTCTATCTCTGCTATGTTCTTAAGTCTCTGGCGTTCATAGTCACTCAACTTTTCGATTTCCTTTTCAGACTTTTTTAATGCTGGGAAAAACATGTCAGATGATGATAGGTACACGATTATATTACACAATATAATTTGTTGATGAGCTCGTTGGTGAAGTCGCGAAACGGTACCGCACAGAAGACGACGCAACGTACCCAACACACTTATATTATAAAGTTATGGTTGGTCCGTCTCGACGTGATTTTGATTCTGATGGTCTCCGATCAAGAACATGTGCTTTTGGTCTGGCCGTTCGATATAATCTATAGCGTTGGACACAAAAAGAAAATGTACAGCTCCGGTGGATATGCAAAGCTGTGTGACGATAAAACTCGAAGACACCGACGAAAATTCGAAAAATGAAAAAAACACTTGAGAATTCAAAGTTTATACCGACGAGCGACGGCTAAAACTCCACACGGGTGGTTGACGAGAAAATGTAGCTGCGCTACGTCTAGCCGATTAGGTTAAGCTTGCTGTTGCGGGCGACCGATAACGGCGATTCGGCGGTTATGTTTTTTTGGCGCCAAACTGCGAGATAATGGCCCGGCAACCGACAACCCCACCATCACCCTTCCACCATCGTCACAAGCCGATTTAAATGATTTAATAAATAACAACGGGCGAGGACTATCGAACTGCTCGGCGGTTCAGCGATACCAGCCTGTTATCTTTAGTGGAGGCACGCACCGCGTTTCAGGCATACTGATCGGCAGCTTGAATACAATAATATTCGATTTATATATTATTCATAACACGATTATAAAGATGAATCATAAATTCATAACGATACATCAGCTGCGATTGAATATGCAATCGCTTTTGCAATCACTTATCATCGTATTCGTCTTTGGCCGCCGTGCCGTATCGATTTAATAATATCAAATGGTTCCTAATGGACAACATTTTATGTAAGTCACAGATTCACATCGATATGATCATAGGTGCAACAACTAAAACTGTACAAAATTCTAAATTTCGGTATCACGAGGATTCCAACTTCCACAGATGAATTATTAATCGATGCAAAACAGAGCGTTCAAGAATATCGAAATATGTCAACGGCGCGCTGTTACGTATCGAGTTGATTTAAATAATTCAGAGACCTAGTCACCTAGATATAAGATATAACTTGTATCATACAAGTCTGTAGGTAGGTAGGTTCTATTGATGTCTATATTCTACTCTATTGACAATTGACATAATATAATCTAACGATTGTAATGGACTACCTATAAAGTGAGAAAACCAATATCAACATGATAGTATTTAATGAGGGATGTAGATTTTCTTTATATTATTATGTCTATAGTGGTAGGCGGGAAAAAAGTTGACGGAAAAAAAACACAAAAAATTAATACACTAAGGAAAAATAGCCCACGGAAAAACATTAAATATAAATGTAAACACATGTACCTATACTCTACTCCTAATTAGTAATTAATAATTCATAAATTATTATAGGCAATATAAACAATTTTATTAGCAAAACTCAATTAATAAGGAAAATTTTTTTTACCTATTTATTCAATGAAAAATATCAAATATAAATGAATTTATTTCTTAATATGGTTTATGCTTAACTATTAACTATACATAAAAAACAACTTGTAATAGAAAAAAAAATTAAAATATAAATATGAACTCATCTATTAGGTACCTAATATACAGTGTTATAAGTCAAAAAACATTAGGGATATTAGTATAATATCTTAGGTTTATACATAATACATTAATTATACAAAACTTACACATGATAATAGTTTATGACATTATTTTCATTATAATATATTTTAGTTTGCTATAGGTACACTCCACACAGTAATTACTAATTAGAAGTAGAGTATACATGTGTTCACATTCAAGTTTAATTTTTCTTTTGGGCTTTATTTTTTTTTTGTGCTTTTTTTCCGTTATCTTTTCTCCACGATTCGCCTATGGTAGGTACACACATTCGACGTATAGAATAACTAAAAAAAAGTCAAAATATTTTGAAAATGTGTAGTGCTATTATCTATAAAAAATAAACATTTAATGAATATCTCAAGAGTAATGTTAATAGTTTTTGAATAACAACAAAATGAGGAAATTTTTGTATGAGACTTTGTTAATGTAAGGGTCCAATGTCTGACTTCAAACTATAGTAAATATTAATATGACTCCTGTAATCTTTATTTTTTGATAAATGTACGAAAAATGTAAAATTTTAGATTAACATAGAAAATTATTTATGAATTTCTAACTTAAAAAAAAAAAAATAATAATAATAATAGTCGAATAATTAATTTGCAAATGTTCTTGATTATTATGATATCTAACAAAACGCTTAAGTAGTAAAAAAATTCAAACTTTCACAATTTTTTAATATATACAGTAATATTCCAAAAGGAATGACCATTAGGTATACATGTAAAATAGTAAAGCCTTGAAAAATACGAATTAATAGAAAATATTATACAAATGAATATAACAAATCAAATAGATAATGCATCTAATAACAAATAACGTATAAAATCATTGATATTCATTGTTAAATACAATAATTTATTCACATCATTGCATAAAACTCGTTAAAAAACAGATTTAACATAAATCTTAGAGTTCAGTTTTAAGTTAAAGTACAACAAGCAAGTGTAACAATGTAAATAAATGGTTTACCTAATTGTAGTTTTTCTAATTATTCTTACTAAATAAAGGGATTGTTGTGCCTTAATTCAGCCTACTTATAATAAATTTAATTTCCCTGAATTTTCTTTAAATTTCCCAAGAACGACATTTCACCGTTTAAACTCCTACACCCAGTTTGTAATTAATTTTGTTCATATTATGTAAATAATTATTTACTTATTATATGCTAACAATTAAACTTTTTTTTTTTATTTCCACTAACAACAACCTATGTGGAACTACGTTGTATTACATTTTCAAGTTTTTTGATCAAGCAAACATTTTTTTATCGTTAAGGGGATTCCACACTATCGCTTTTTAGAGTAAAAAAGACCCATACGCGTTCCAGCGTACTAACTTGAGTTTTAATCCTATAATAATTTTGAAAACATATTTGAATTTTTTATGAAGTCTATTTCGAATCCTTCGAAACAGAATATTAAAAAAATGTTTTTTGAACTATTTATGTTCATTTAAATTTTTAAGAATACAAGATTTTTTTTCTAAATTTCAAGTGAGGTTTTTTCTTTTTAAGCATAATAAATTAAAAATGTGGTTTGAAGGATTCAAAGTTCAAAGTCGATTGAACAACAAAACAATATTTGCTTTCAAAATTATTATCGGTGTAAAACTCAAATAGTTATGATAGTTATGTTGGATTGTTGGAATTCGTTTAGCTTTATAATTTACTATATTTCACCATGAAAAAGATTCGTTGTTAGACATAATGTAACATGTGCATGCGAGTGCGCAACGCTTGTCTAGCTCGCCGTCAGATAATCGCGGCGTCGCTAACGAATTATCGGAAATCTAAATATAATATGTTCATGTAAAAATAATATTACCGATAATGATCGAAAATAATTTTTGCCGCTGTCGCCGATTATATTACATGACGTGTACATCGCGCTCGCGCATTTACGCTCACATATAATGATTACTTTATGTTATAATAATATTAGGTGATTTTGTATTTTTGTCTACCGTCAGGTCGATTATCAGATCTTTATTCTTTAGTGCGCCTATAATAGTAGCATTTAGTTGTGTAGTTATACAGTTACAGAAGCACTTAGTTTTTTTAAGTCCGAAAATTTACCATATTTTTTAAAAATGGGAAATAAAATGTATAATAAAAAAAAAATGAAAGGCAATGTACTTAATTTCCAAAAGAAAATAGTGGAGATCTCAAACGACGCCTTTGTTGATTTGTAAGTTTATTTGTATTGAATTATTTATTTTAAGTTCCTAGTGAAGCAAGTTTATGTGCTTATGCTATACAGTATGACGTATGTCCTAAAAATCCTGTATGACATAGCGAATCTCGACGGCAACTCAATATTTTTGAATGAGTTTTTCTCGAAAATAAACTTTAATAACAATTCCAAATCAACAATTTTTGAATTTTTTTTCAAAAATTCAAAATTGCTTTTGTTAAATATACAAAATAGATATTTTATTTCCTCAAAAGTAAATTAAAAAAGCTTGGTCAAGTTCTTAACGCTCTGCTGTATAGTAGGTAACTGTAATTTATGTATTAAATTTGAATCCAATGATAGGTATCATTGTTTACGAAAAACGATTCTGAATGGAGATGATTTGACAGCCTAGGATATATTTTCCAGTGGTTGGTAAAAAGGTGGTTTATGCGTTTTAATGGTCTGAATACACCAAACTTTATGTTCTTTTTACTTTTATAATTATTGTGAGCCAAACTTATCGAAAATCTTGTATTAAATTAATAAATTAAAAAAATAAATTAAACTCGACATTTTCTTGTGCCTATAAATAGCTCAAAAAGAGTCATAATATTTAGAAAAATGTACAGTACATAGAAATTGCATGCTAATATTAACAGTGAAATTTTCTGAAAGTTACTTAAAAAACTAAGTAAATTTTTTTAAAAACTGGTTTTGCTTAAAAATTTCAGTTTTTCCTTAATTTTTTTAATAATTATATTTGGAAAATTGAATTGTGTAGGTATAGAAAATGCCATAATGGTAATATAAGCATTTTGTATAAATTTAAGTATCTAGATATTATTAGTTTTTTAGTTACACCAAAAAATCTAAAACGACTTTGTCAATAAAATACTAATGCGTGAAAATGCCCGTTTTTTCTGATTTTTTTTGTTTTTTATGACGAATTCTTAAAGCTACTAAAGTTGAAAATCAAAACATTATTTGGATTACTTATCGTGTACAGCCACAAAATAAACAACATTGTTGTAAAATCGGGCATGGACCAAAATTTGCATTTTAGAATCATAGTAAACCAATTGCGCTGCATATATTTTAGACATACTTATGATTTTTAGGTATAAATTTACCGGCTACTATGGCTAGGTATACCTATTATTGACATCCATGACGATTGAAAACACTGACAAAGTGACAAACAAATCGTTTTTAATCAGTCTGAAAAAAAAACTATTCATTTATATATTATGAACGGGGATACTTAAAAATCAGAATCAAGATACTAGATACTTACATTTTAAGTACTTATTTAAGTACTCGATAGTCGATACCCGAAATAAAATTTAGTCACAGGTTTTTTTAAAAATTTTATTTATACACAATTAGGTACAAATAATATATTAATTAGTTAATACTTAATACCACATATTTAAGAACTTAATAATGATATTCTACAATACAATTAATTATTATTGATGTACATAATTATTAAGATAGTCATAAACCACATAGGCAATAAGTAATAACTTAATTATAAAACTAGTATTATAAATAAGTATTATAATATCGAATATTGATATTTTTTATGATTCTTTGCAATCTATAATTCATAAACTCAAAAATTGTAATAGTTAATATTTACCTACTTGTTCTCTAGTCTTGAATTTTTTTTTGTTCTTTTTTGTCTTA